ACTCGGACCGGATCCAGACCATCCGGACTCTGGAGACCCGAGTGAGAGACCTGACCCACGAGACCCAGTCCAAGACCCAGACTGTGGACCAGGACCTCAGAGAGACCAGGGAGAAGGTCCAACACCTGCAGCAGGAGAACACAGGTCAGAACCAAAGACTAGACCAGGACTGGGACTGGAGGAGGACTGGATGTTTTTTCTTTCAGGTCTGAAGTCCGAGTTCCTGGAGCTGAAGTCCAGACTGAACCAGACCCGGTCTCCTCCTGAAGATCCACAGAAGACCCCAGGTCAGTCCCACATGGTCCTGGTCCAGGCCTGGGGTTTCCTCCGGGTGTTGAGTCTGTTCCGTTTGTTCCTTTTCTTCTTTTCTACATTTTTTTCAGGCTCGATGTCGGAGCTGCTGTTCCTGCAAACCCGACTGAGGGCAGCAGAGGGCGCCGTGGAAGATCTGAAGAGGAAGAGCTCAGGTGAGAGACCAGAGGAAGATCAGACCAGAAGACCAGAGGAAGATCAGACCAGAGGAAGTTCAGACCAGAGGAAGTTCAGAGGAAGTTCAGACCAGAGGAAGTTCAGACCAGAGGAAGTTCAGACCAGAGGAAGTTCAGACCAGGGGAGACCAGGGGAGACCAGGGGAGAGAGGATCAGAGCAGGTTCAGTCAGAGGTTGGGTTCTTCATGATCTGATGTTTCATTTTTTGTGTGTTTTGTTTCAGTTCTTGCGTCGCGTCTCTGTGTGGCCGAGTCTCAGCTGCAGCAGATGCACCTGCACTCCTCAGGTCTGAGTCTGGTCCAGGTTTAACATCTCACCTCCAACTCAAACATCTCACCTCCAACTCAAACATCTCACCTCCAACTCAAACATCTCACATGACGTTTCAGACTCACAAACATCTAAAGTTTGATTTGTTTCTCAGAATGCAACGTGTCCCTCACAGAGTCCCTCAGCGAGAAGGTCCAGCGCCTGTCGCTCCAAACACAAGGTCTGCACCTGCAGCTCCTGAAAGGTCCTCTGAGGTCCTCTGAGGTCCTGAGGTCCTGTGAGGTCCTCTGAGGTCCTGTGAGGTCCTGTGAGGTCCTCTGAGGTCCTGTGAGGTCATCTGAGGTCCTGAGGTGAGGTCCTGTGAGGTCCTCTGAGGTCCTGTGAGGTCCTGTGAGGTCTCTTGAGAGGTCCTGTGAGGGTCCTCTGAGGTCTGAGGTCCTCTGAGGTCCTGTGAGGTCCTCTGAGGTCTCTGAGGTCCTGAGGTCCTGAGGTCCTGAGGTCCTGAGGTCCTGAGGTCCTCCTGAGGTCCTGAGGTCCTGTGAGGTCCTCTGAGGTCCTGAGGTCCTCTGAGGTCCTGTGAGGTCCTCTGAGGTCCTCTGAGGTCCTCTGAGGTCTCTGAGGTCCTGTGAGGTCCTGTGAGGTCCTGTGAGGTCCTCTGAGGTCCTCTGAGGTCTCCTGAGGTCCTCTGAGGTCCTGAGAGGTCCTCTGAGGTCCTCTGAGGTCCTCTGAGGTCCTGTGAGGTCTCCTGAGGTCCTCTGAGGTCCTCTGAGGTCCTGTGAGGTCCTGTGAGGTCCTCTGAGGTCCTCTGAGGTCCTCTGAGGTCTCTGAGGTCCTGTGAGGTCCTGTGAGGTCCTCTGAGGTCCTGTGAGGTCCTGTGAGGTCCTGTGAGGTCCTCTGAGGTCCTGTGAGGTCCTGTGAGGTCCTCTGAGGTCCTCTGAGGTCCTGTGAGGTCCTCTGAGGTCCTCTGAGGTCCTGTGAGGTCCTGTGAGGTCCTCTGAGGTCCTCTGAGGTCCTCTGAGGTCCTTCCTGAGGTCCTGTGAGGTCCTCTGAGGTCCTGAGGTCCTGTGAGGTCCTCTGAGGTCCTCTGAGGTCCTGTGAGGTCCTGTGAGGTCCTCTGAGGTCCTGTGAGGTCCTCTGAGGTCCTCGTGAGGTCCTGTGAGGTCTCACTCAGGACGTGTTCATTTAAAGTTGTTCTGTTCAGGTCTGCAGCAGGAGGTCGGGTTTGTGCTGGAGCAGAGCAAAGAACAACACACCACTCTGACAGGTGCGTCTGCACACCTGTCGCTCCTGTCACACCTGTCGCTCCTGTCACACCTGTCACACCTGTCGCACCTGTCACACCTGTCACACCTGTCACACCTGTCACACTGTCACTCCTGTCACTCCTGTCACACCTGTCACACCTGTCACACCTGTCACACCTGTCACTCCTGTCGCACCTGTCGCTCCTGTCACACCTGTCGCTCCTGTCACCTGTCACTGTCCTGTCACACTGTCCTGTCACACCTGTCACTCCTGTCGCACCTGTCGCTCCTGTCACTCCTGTCACACCTGTCACTCCTGTTACACCTGTCACACCTGTCGCTCCTGTCGCTCCTGTCGCTCCTGTCGCTCCTGTCACACCTGTCGCTCCTGTCGCACCTGTCATACTTGTTGCTCCTGTCGCTCCTGTCACTCCTGTCACACCTGTCGCTCCTGTCGCTCCTGTCGCTCCTGTCACTCCTGTCACTCCTGTCGTACTTGTCGCACCTGTCACACCTGTCGCTCCTGTCGCTCCTGTCACTGTCGCTCCTGTCACACCTGTCGTACTTGTCGCTCCTGTCGCTCCTGTCGCTCCTGTCACACCTGTCGCTCCTGTCGTTCCTGTCGCTCCTGTCGCTCCTGTCGTCCACACCTGTCGCTCCTGTCGCTCCTGTCGTCCTGTCCTGTCTCCTGTCACACCTGTCACACCTGTCACACTTGTCGCTCCTGTCGCTCCTGTCGTCCTGTCACACCTGTCGCTCCTGTCGACCTGTCACACCTGTCGCTCCTGTCGTTCCTGTCGCTCCTGTCGCTCCTGTCGCTCCTGTCACACCTGTCGCTCCTGTCGTTCCTGTCGCTCCTGTCACTCCTGTCGTTCCTGTCACTCCTGTCACACCTGTCGCTCCTGTCACACCTGTCGCTCCTGTCGTTCCTGTCGTCCTGTCGCTCCTGTCGCTCCTGTCGCTCCTGTCGCTCCTGTCGCTCCTGTCACACCTGTCGCTCCTGTCGCTCCTGTCGCTCCTGTCGTCCCTGTCGCTCCTGTCGCTCCTGTCACACCTGTCGTACTTGTCGCTCCTGTCGCTCCTGTCGCTCCTGTCACACCTGTCGCTCCTGTCACTCCTGTCGTTCCTGTCGCTCCTGTCACACCTGTCGCTCCTGTCGTTTCCTGTCACACCTGTCGCTCCTGTCCCTGTCACTCCTGTCGCTGTCTGTCACACCTGTCACACCTGTCGCTCCTGTCGCTCCTGTCACACCTGTCCTGTCGCTCCTGTCGCTCCTTGTCCCTGTCACTCCTGTCACACCTGTCGCTGTCCTGTCGCTCCTGTCGTTCCTGTCGCTCCTGTCGCTACTGTCCTGTCGCTCCTGTCACACCTGTCGCTCCTGTCACTCCTGTCGTTCCTGTCGCTCCTGTCACTCCTGTCGCTCCTGTCGCTCCTGTCACACCTGTCACTCTGTCGTACTCCTGTCACACCTGTCGCTGTCACTCCTGTCGCTCCTGTCGTCCTGTCGCACTGGTCCTGTCACTCGCTCCTGTCCCTGTCGCTCCTGTCGCTCCTGTCGCTTCCTGTCGCTCCTGTCGTCTTGTCGCTCCTGTCGCCCTGTCGCTCCTGTCGCTCCTGTCGCTCCTGCTGTTGTCCCTGTCAGTGTGTCTTGTGTCTGTGTCTGTGCAGGAGTCGTGTCCGACCTGAAGGAGGAACTGGACTCGACTCAGACTCAGGTCCAGGAGCTCAGACTCAGAACCACAGGTCAGAAACAAACAAACAAATAAACAAACAAACAAATAAATAAATAAATAAATAAACAAACTAAAACATTTACACAAGAATCAGTTCAAATTAGATCATTATATGTTTATGTTCCAGATCTGAGCTCAGAACTCAGTCACCTGAAAACCTCCAGACCTGGTCTAGTCCTGGTCTAGTCCTGGTTTAGTCCTGGTAGTCCTGGTTTAGTCCTGGTTTAGTCCTGGTTTAGTCCTGGTCCTGGGTCCTAGTCCTGGTTTAGTCCTGGTTTAGTCCTGGTTAGTCCTGGTTAGTCCTGGTTTAGTCCTGGTTTAGTCTGGTTAGTCCTGGTTTATCCTGGTTTAGACCTGGTTTAACCTGTCTTAGTCCTGGTTTAGTCCTGGTTTAGTCCTGGTTTAGTCCTGGTTAGTCCTGGTTTAGTCCTGGTAGTCCTGGTTTAGTCCCTGGTTAGTCCTGGTTTAGTCCTGGTTTAGTCCTTTAGTCCTTTAGACCTGGTTTAGTCCTGGTTTAGACCTGGTTTAGACCTGGTTTAGGTCCTGGTTTAGACCTGGTTTAGCCTGGTTTAGTCCTGTTTTGGTTTGTGGTTTAAACCTGGTTTAAACCTGGTTTAGTGGTTTAGTGGTTAGATCCTGGTTTAGACCTGTTTAGTGGTTTAGCGTGCCTGCCTGGTTTAGACCTGTTTAGTTTTAGACCTGGTTTAGACCTGGTTTAGACCTGGTTAGTCCTGGTTAGACCTGGTTTAGACCTGAGTCCTGTTTAGACCTGGTTAGTGTCCTGGTTTAGTCCTGGTTTAGACCTGGTTTAGACCTGGTTTAGACCTGGTTTTACCTGGTTTAGACCTGGTAGAGTTGGTTTAGACCTGGTTTAGTCCTGGTTTAGTCCTGGTTTAGACCTGGTTTAGACCTGAGTCCTGGTTTAGTCCTGGTTAAGACCTGGTTTAGTTTTAGTCCTGGTTTAGACCTGGTTTAGTCCTGGTTTAGTCCTGGTTTAGACCTGGTTTAAACCTAGTCCTGCTTTGTGTTTGGAGTTAAACCTGGTTTTGTTTCAGATCAGACTGAGCTCGTGCAGAAGGTGGAGAAACATCTGGAGCAGCTGGAGGACACCAGCTCAGGTGAGACCCACCAGAACCTTTAGAACGTCTCAGAACATTTTAGAACCTGTGGCAGAGTGGTTGACCCTCACACCAGATGGTCTCAGGTTCTTTTTCCTCATCATGGTTTTGACGTTTCAGCTGCTGTGGAGGAGCTGAAGTCTGAGATGTTCAACCTGAAGAACCGAAGCTCAGGTCTGAACCAGAGACTGAAGGAACATGTGGAACATCTGCAGAGGAACATCTCAGGTCAGAGGGACGGTGTCATTTAACATCTGTGTTTCAAAACACATCTGTATTTATGTCACACTGAACCTGAAGAATCTTCTCCACTGAAAC